GGGGACCAAGTTAAGGCAAAATGTAAGATCACTTGAAGATGATATAAGGTAGTCCTTACACTGATTCAACTTCAAATCTCACACTGGGAACCAAGTTAAGACAAAATGTAAGGTCACTTGAAGATGATATAAGGTAGTCCTTACATTGATTCAACTTCAAATCTCACACTGGGAACCAAGTTAAGGCAAAATGTAAGATCCCTTGAAGATGATATAAGGTAGTCCTTACATTGATTCAACTTCAAATCTCACACTGGGGACCAAGTTAAGCAAAATGTAAGATCACTTGAAGATGATATAAGGTAGTCCTTACACTGATTCAACTTCAACGATTTACTTAAGTACTCGAAGTTTGTTGGAATTATTCTAATTTAACCAATTATTAGGCCGGTCCCACAGCACTAACAATCCAGAAAATAAAAAGTACAAAAGATAATACAATTACATGATAATTATTTACTTTTTGTGTTGAATCGATTAGAAAAATGTCACAATAGTCAATAATCTCTTGTATCTAAAAATCTCACCAATCTGTAGAGTTTAGCCTTGCCACGCTTATTGGCTAAATGTTCAGGTCAGATGCCTTTAATCTGCAGGTACAGTCGTTCATAATATTGAATAATGACTTGTGAAAGGGGAGTCAGTTACCAACACCTGACGCTAAAATCGCTTTGTCTCATTCCAAACCTAATAACGGAATGTCTCTTTTATAGCGAGCCAACTACTGAAAATACAGATCGTGTTCATTGGTATCATGTCGCGAACCTTAGACTCTTAGATTAGCAGCCCGACACATTATTCACTAGGTCACGCCCGGTCCAAGAGTAAGTTGTAGTTATCTTTTGGTATAAATATGAAAACATCATTTATTAGACCTGTACCGCTGAAACAGAATAATTAATTTGTTAATACGAAAAACCGAGAAAATGACGTAATATAAAAATGATGAGCAATACAACCACAAAAGTGACGAATAACATATTCATTGAACGTTTTAAAATATACATATCCCATTTTCAACAGATTCCTACATTTAACATAAAACTATAATTTCAGGGAATCACCTGAACGCAAATGCACTACGATACACATTTGTAAGAGAAAACGTTAAGACTCAAAACGGAGGTTTTTTTTTTATAAAAACCAATAAGTGGACTTGGATATAACATAGATCCACACTATATGAATTAGTACAAGTATCTAAATAGCTAATGAGAGCAAATTAAAACAAGCTTAACGGAACAGAAGTTGAGTTGTTATTTAAGCTGGGGAGATTTTGTTTAATAAGTAGACTTTGAGAAATTCCAATTCTGTGTGGCCCATAGCTAAAACTCCAGTTTTACGTATCCATAAAACCTGTTATCATTAATCCCCTTCCTGCATCTCTTCTGTCTACACACATAGCCAAACTATTGGACACAAAATTTTCTTAATTGATTTTAAAGTTCTAGCAAGAATATGATTCCTGAATGGTTGGTGTAAAATCTAAATAATTTTGGAGAAATATAAAATATCCCACCGACAAACTTTCGTTTATTCAAATATGATACTTTCTTACGTTTTGAACGTTTATCGTTAATAATTATAAGGGTAAATTAGTATTGATGTTTGTTAAAGACACTTACCTATCCTGACCTAAGTCACGTAAAATACAAAAACAAACAACAATGTTTCATTTATAACTGAGACGAACTACCCTCAACTCAACAGTTTCAGCAACATGCCAAGATTCATAAATGCGGCGTTTATGAAGTCAGATTCAGTATCAATATTTTCTATGTTATCGTAGTTGATATTGTTTCAATTCAAATGAATATATTCAATATCAGTTAATTATTATTGCACTTAATTTTTCAATCTGCTACAACTAAGATAATCTCTAGTTTTCAGTTGAATATCTTTTACTTTTAGGGTGAGTAAGCTATTTCGCAATGAAAAATGATTTCGTATAGCCTGTTCCTGGAGTTCTCGCCAGTTTCTTATGAGCATTTTGAATCTAAGGAAGGGTAACTCATAGACAATAATGGGTGTATTTATTCAGTGTATTACCTTGTTTTGATGATAGAAAACGTTTCCTGAAGTACCTCCAATAATAAAAAAAATATTAGGAATACATAACTAAAAAATCGGTATTGTTTGTTTGTTTTAGAGCTAAGCCACAATGAGCTATCTGCCGTGTCCACCGCGGGGAATCGAACCCAGAATTTAGACTTGCTGCTGTTCTACCGGGGGACAAAATCGGTATTTACAAGCCATAAGTAATAATAAAAAATAGGATAAAATGTTAAAGTCAGCTTTTGCTGAAAATATTTTTTACATCACAGTTTCAACTGAGTTATTGTAAATAGTGTAATTGTAGAATCTTTCTTCAAAAATATGCATTAAGAACCGCCGGCAAATTGCATGCGCTTTTTCTAAACGTTTTTTTTTTATATTGAAGATTTTTGACATATTTTTCGGTAGCAGTAAAGTAAAATTGCTATTATATCTTACTGTTCTTAGGCTCAATTTTTTCCCAGTTTTCCTGTTGCTTTATATCTTAACACTTTGACAAAAAAAAACTGAAGTTCATTTTCAAGTAAATACGTTCTTTTGTTATTGTTTTCACACCACACTAAATCCCTTTGAGCTGCAAGCATGATTTGTTAGTTATTAATTCGTTGGCTACACTATATTTGAAACGTTGATTTATTAGTTATTACTACAATAGATATCCTTGATTAGCAAGATTAAATTACTGATTATTGCTATGATAAATCCTTCCATTTTCAAGATTAGCTTATCAGCTTCTATTACGATGGTCACTTCTATTTGAAACACTGATTTGCTATTTTTTACTACAATAGATTCTCTCGAATTGCAGAATTGCTTGACTAGTTACTACTACAAAATAAGCAAAGCAAAGTATTGCCATGAAGTATTTTTACATATTTAGAATATTTTAGCAATTTTTAGAGCTACCCAGGGTTATATATTAGTATTGGATTTCCCACACCAGCCAATTTCCCTACATCCCTGTGGTTTAAGGTACTTCTGCCTAATTTTGACTGAGAATCCATGAATGAGATACTTATATTGAAATTGATTTAAAGATATGGCCAAACAGGATTCAGATAATTTATTGAGGTGTTTGAGGAACAGGCAATATAACTTATGATCTTGTGTTTCGATGGTCCGATCCTTGATGCTATTGAGTACTTGAGCAAGGTGCAACTACAGGACTCGAATGAAATACAGTTGTAGCTGAGTTGTGCCAGTGTTTTGACCCCGTGGAAGACTGAATTGGGCTGAAGTCAAGGCTAGAAAAAGGAGCCCCTCTGAGAACTTGGGTGTGTATGGCAATGACTGACACCAGTTACATTCAAAGGTATACTCTGCAATGGCTCGAGCAGATCACAAAAAACGTAGCAGACAAGTTCACTGAGGTCACATGAGAGAAACAAGCATGCAGTGGCAGTAGACTTGAATGTCACATTGAGTTTCAGCATTGCCTAGGGCAAACCAGCAGCCAACGGATACCAGTACTGATGTGGTTTATGAAATATAAAAGTGATGATAGCATGGTATAGATAATCCATGTAATATACTGTTTTCTGTCCAAACAGTATGCAGTCTTAATTCAGGCAGTGATTCATTTGAGGAATGACGTTTCAGCATTATTCTGTAATTTTGGGTAGTCAGCTATCCAGTTTCCTGCTGAAAAGGTCATTGGAATGGCAAACAAAGTGGAGAATACCAAAACTAGTGGTATCATTAGCGTTGCTTCCACCACACCATCTCTGAAAGCCTGTACTCAGCTTCCAACGCATCTGAATTTGCTTGTTGAGATTACAGTCCACAAGAAATATTGAATCAGTGCAGTGGTAGAATATCAATAATCTATTTGTTAAGTAGCCTGACGTATTTTTGGAGCCAGACAGCTGATTGAGTCAAACAAAAATATCTTGTCATCACATAGTTAACGGCAATTAATATTAACTTCTGATTAGAGCAAGCTACATACTTAGAACAAAACTGTAATATAATGACTATCCCTAATGAAATATATGTTTCTTATATACTTATTTATAAGGATTAGAATGCACTGTTTCATCACTTGCATACCTTCCCTGTTAATGATATTATTGGACATGATACATATACAAATAAACAACCATGGTGCAGGTTTTTCAGAGCACTAGGGATGTAGCCAGCACTAAAATACAACAGATACTAAAGAATGGAATCATATAGTATTCAGGGGTGCATTGTCAAGCCTATTAGTAATTGTTAGGAAAGAGAGCATGCTAGTTAATCTCAGTTTCAAATGGACAGCAACTGCCTTTTGTAGAAAGCTACAAATGTAGAGGACGACGTTTCGAAAGTCTTCCTCTACATTTGTAGTTTTCTACAACAGGCAGTTGCTGTCCATTTGAAACTGAGATTAACTAGCATGCTCTCTTTCCTAACAATTACTAATAGGCTTGACAATGCACCCCTGAATACTATATGATTCCATTCTTTAGTATCTGTTGTATTTTAGTGCTGGCTACATCCCTA